TCACTGTCACCCAGGTTCCCTTTGATCTTTAGGTTGCTGATTAGGTCATCCCTGGTTGCCAGTACGAGGTCAAGCAGCACTTTACCTCTTGTCGGCCCGTAGGCTCCCTGTGTCAGAGAGAGGTCATCCACGCGTAGAGAGAGCTTTGTGACTGCTCGGATTTGGCTGAGCGCTTCTCCCACAAGATGTCTGGGTAGTTAAAGTCTCCCATGACAACCATACACCGGGAGCGCGCTGCCTCAGCCAGTTCCCTGGCAAGCTCCTGGTCAAGGTCTTGACCCTGGGTAGGGGGTCTGTAGTAGACTCCCACCATAGTATCCCCTGTGCCATGTTCCCCATGGATTTTAACCCAGAGGGTCTCAAGTCGTCCACTGTGGGTGCAATGTCGTCTTGCCTGGACACACAGCTTTCCTCGACATAGACAGCTACACCCCTGCCCCCTTTTGTCCACTCGATCCCTTCCGTACAGCGTATAGCCGTTTATACCTGTGGTCCAGTCATGGGTGGAGTCCCACCAGGTCTCCGTTATCCCTATGACATCATAGTTATTTGCATTTAGCAGGAGGACAAGTTCCTCCTGTTTATTTCCCAAGCTCCCGGCATTTGTGTATAGGCACGCAAGTGTCCCCTTGGAGGCCCTTGCCTTGCCTACAGTTTGTTCCAGGGCTGGGGCAGGGGTGGGATCCCTTAAATGCCTTGGCCTTCTGGCTTTGCAAGGGTTGCTCAGTGGGCCAGCAGTGGCAGTAGTCCCCCCATCCCTCAGCGGGTTTAGTTTTAAAGCCTGATGGAGTAGGTCAGCCAGTCTGACTGAGAAGAGCCTCTTCCCCAGCAGAGAGAGGTGGAGGCCATCCCTTCCCAGCAGCTCGCTGCCTCTCTCACCAAAGAGCGGACTGTGGTCATGGAAGCCAAAGCCTTCCCAATGACACCAGTGCCACAGTCTTTGGTTGACTACCTGGATCCTCCTCTCCCTCCTCAGTCCATAGCCCGAGACTGGGAGGATTGAAGAAAACACCACCTGCGCCCCCAGAACCTTAAGCCCCGCTTGCAAATCCCTATAGCGCCTCATGACCCAGCTGGGAGCGCTCTGAACCATGTCATTTGTGCCCACATGGATGAGGAGTATAGGGTAGTGGTCAGTGGGCTGGAGGAGCTTAGGGATTATCTCTAATGTCTTGGATTCTGACTCCCGGGAAGCAGCAAACTTTCCAGGCTAAAGGCTCGGGGCGGCAAATTACCCCCTCAGCCCCGCTCATGATGGAGTTTCTCATGACAAACACTTTGCGTTTTGTCTTGGGGAGAGCAGGGGCAGTAGCTACAGTAGTGCCCAAGTTGCCTGCGGGAGCTGGCAACTCAGCAGGCTCTGCTGGGGCTGCAAGAGGTTTGTATCTGTTGCAAAGCTCCAGCGGTGGGGGGGCCTTGGTGTGGTGGTCCTTGGGGCCCTTGACCACCTTGGTCCAACCCCTGGGCTGGACAGTAAGGGGGGTCCCTGAGTCCTCCCTTGTCCTGGAGGGAGACCGTGATCTACCCTCCGCCTCCCAGGGGAGATGGGCCTGTCAGTAGGAGTCTATCTCCTGCTCACATTCCCTGATGGCACGCGGTCTCTGGACTGCGGCCTGGAGCTCCTCCAGCTGGCATGCCAGAGGCCCCAGTAGGGATCAGACCTCACAAGGGGAGGTGGCCATGCTCCTGGCCCCAGAGCCTGAAAAAGTGACAGGCAACTGAGAGCCAGAGGCTCCATCTGCGTGGAGCCTGGAACCACGGGCTCCATGTGGGTGGTGGTCTCTGAGGTGCCAGAGGGGAGGGCCGCAGACCCCGAGGGGACCCAAGGGGTGCAGCACATGCCCATCTGTGTCATGCTGCTGGTGAGCTGGCTATGGCTGGGACTGGCTTCCCTAGGGGCCTCACTGGCAGGGCCTTGGACCCTTCTGTGCAAACTCCCGCAGTAACTCGCACACCAGGCCCAGGAGCACGCCTGTTTGTGTGGCCTGTTCGCGAGGCTCCGGTTGTGTGGCTCCCTGAGGGGCTGGGTGAAGTAGGGGCCGGGGTGAGGTGTGACCCTCCTTGGTCCACTTACCTCCCAGCTGGCTAGGTCCCTCCCTCCCTCTGTTTTACAGTTTGCATCAATTCAGGCTTCGTTCCAGTCTTACTGATTTGAACGCTAATTTGTTGGATCCTTCTGTGTCCAGGAAACATTTACTGTCTTACTGTAGCACATCAACTCAGTTGCTTGTAACTGTCCCTCCAGTTGCTTCATAAACATCTATCTAAATGTTTCCAGCTTCCATATTAATGTTTTTACCAGCAAAACAAAAATAAGGCTATTAATCGGCTGACTTGTCCATGTTGTTGATCCTCAGAAATATTCTGGGAACTAAGAAAAAAAGGTTTGAAGAACCAGTTCCACCAAAATTAAATCCAAATATAAGAATATTTAAATTTTGAACAGCAAATTCAAAAATGAAATACGGAGAAGATATAAATAACTAAACAGTACAGATGCTGGGAAGTTGAGATCTGGCTTTCAGATGCATTTCTAGGTTGGTTAGTAAGACAAGGCAGGAGACGGGTCTACAGCTTGACTTCCGATTACCCACAAAGCACAAGATAGGCCTATATCCCAATGCCTATATGCACTCTCACAGTAGAGCATGGATTCTTTTATCTTTCTACTTGCTAGGGGAGAATTGATGTTGTGAAGGGCCAGTAGGGGCTGCTCCTATGCTGAACCACCCACCTCCCTGCGCCCAACCACCTTCCAGGCTTCGTGTGCCTCCCTGGGGGTGCTTCATGTCTGGCTGACCCCCTTCCTGGAGCACACCTGCTAGCCTGGGGTAATGCTTCCACCACCCAGGGTCTAGCCTGATTCTGGCCCTTTGCCCCCTGGGAAACACAGGCCTAGTAGTCCTTGAGGGTACTGGACCCACTCCAACAACTTGGGGTGCTTCCTCAGTCTGAAGCATAAATTAGTGGTCTCCCTTAGTGGAACCAAGGGGACCCCAGGGCATAATCTAGACCCACTCCCAAGAAGTCTCCCTTGCTAGGTACAAAGAAGAACTTTATTGATTACAAGGAGTAGGTTTGGAATAGGGCACAGGGTAGAGCAGGGGTGGGCAAAATGTGGCCCGGGGACGGGATGCAGCCCACCAGGCCATTCTTTCTGGCCTGCAGGCCCTCCCTCCCCAAAATTAAGAAAATTAATATTTATCTGTCCCTGGCTGCCTGTCATGCGGCCCTCGATGGCTTGCCAAAACTCTGTAAGCGGCCCTCCGCCCAAAATAATTGCCCACTCCTGGGGTAGAGCAATATCGAAGAAATCCCATAGAGCAAACAGGATGGCTGTGTAGCCTTTGATCGTACATCTGAGTTACTGCAAGCTATATATCTAGTTAGATCTCAGGTAGCTTACTCATGAGTATCATCCAGAGGCAGGTAGAGATTCCCTCTGGAGGCAGGCAGTTCATTGTTCATGAGTTTCAAGAGAGAGCAAGTTTCAGATGGTCCAGCTTCTCTCTAAGTTTTCATCATGGCTACCTCCCCTCCTCCTGGACAGTCCTTAACTTGTATAGACCTTATGACCTCATTTACCTCGTTCAATGGAGGCCAGCACTTGTTAGCTACCAGTCAACCAATTTGAAATGCATCACTGGTTGCCAGGTAGACTGGCATTGCTTAGAACAATAGGGAGCCTAAGGCCCCCACCCAGGTATGTGATGCCAGTCAGGTAAGCAGAGGGAGCAGGTTTCCCCTCTCCCTCAGGAATATATCCAACTCAGGGTTACCTAAAGAAATGGGATGTCTGCCTTCTGCAGGGACCATGTTAACCAACTTATCACATAGCAGAGTTTTTGGGGAGAGACAGAGGTGGCATTCTGCCACAGATGCAATAAAAATAGTCACATGGGCAAAAGGTCCTTTGTAGGGCTACCCCTGTCCTAACTTCTCTTTGATTGGTTCATATATAGGGGCACTTGACACTGACAGACAACTTGTGATTGGTTAGTTTCTGTTTGTCTGTCTAGGACCTCAGAAACCACCCTAAACCAGTTCTTCAGTAATCCTGGAAGATGTCAGTAAGCTAAAATATATCCTGGTGAAAATTAACAGAGCACTTCTTAACACTTTTCCTCATTGGCCTGAGATGTTTCCTCATTACTTACTTGTTGTCCTTTCCTTAACTCATGGTCACAAGTTTCCTAACAGTTTGGTTAAGAAAGCTTAGCATATGAATCCAATTAGTGTCTAGAAGTATATGAACTGCAGAAGGTTATATGATTCACTAATTATCATCAGTATAATTTAGGTTACAGCATGATGCACATGTACATACTTCATATGCAGTTCTGGTTGTTCACCAATAGTCTGACATTTAAAACTAAGACTTCTAACAAGTGGTTTCCTGTTGGCCTAAGTTTTATATATATATATATTTTTTTTTTTACCCATTTGCCTGGCTGGGTATGTTAATTATTTCAGACACTCTGCTGACATGTCATCTGTAATGCTTGCAGAATTTATGCTTTGCTCATTGTGGACCTTCTGCACTCCTGTAGCCCTGCCTAGCCCATTTGGAAAATTGGAGGCTGAGGGTTTAATCAACAACACACAGCCAGATGTTAGGTTCTGAAACAGGAGCTTAAAAGGCAGAGTCCAGGTCATTTTGGGATGCCTGGAACTAAGGAGACAGTTTCATGCTGAAAGGGAAGGCTAGACGGTAGATGGTCCCGTTTATTTTCCGGTGACCAACCTTCAGTTTGCCCAAGCCTCAGAAAAACTAAAATGTATACTTGACACTCTGCAGAGGGGAGACAATTTTGCTCCTGTTATAATGCAAATAATTATCAAAACAAAAGTCAGAATGGTAAGTAGAAGGAGCCAGCCAAAGGGTGAAAGGCATCAGTTGGTTCAAACTGAAGTCTCCTCCAATCATCTCTTACATTCCTTTTTATGGTGGGCTGCAAAATTGCTAACGTGAAATCTTTTTTCCCCCTTCTCTTTTATAGATCATCTTCAATGAAGAGCTTGGATGTCCTTTCATAATAGTCCATAGTGTTTCCTTTGTAAAATCTGATGTGCATTCAATAGATGTGCTTCTGCTTAGAGTAGAAAAAGATGAACTGGATACAGAAGGAAGTGGCTTCCATGTTTCCTTGGAGTGGGTTACAGTCACAGAGAAAAATAAAGTTGGTAAGTATTTTATCTTGGTACTGTATTATACAGGGAGATGATGTAAAAAGCCTGAACAAATCCTTATCACAACTTATTTCACAACACTAGTTATTTTAATAGTTTTGAAAAACTTAAAATGTTTGTCCTCTTTGATATGAAGACTTTGATATGAATTCCTCTGTGGCTCCTGCACATGCTGTCTAGCCAGCTTGTTTTTAAGGTCGTGTTTGCCTGAATAGTTGGTTTTACTGAAAAATAATTAACCTTTTTATTTTTCCTAGATAACTTCTATAACTATCTAGGAAGTTAAAGTTTGTGCAATAATAAATTTAAAATTACATAAGTGACATGTAGACTTCTTTGCTGTACAGATTTCGTTGTTTTCTTTACCTCCACAGGGAGCACATTCTTCAGTGTTTTAGGAATTTGATTGTTCCCAGCTCATCACTAGAGTCTATAGCTGCTAATTTTTACCTTTTGTATTTTTTTCTTTGTATTGCTCTGTTTTCTTTTGTCTCTGTCTTTCTTCTCTGCCTTTGTCTCCTCCAACCTAAAATAGGCCAGAAACCACTGTGAGGCTTCTGAGCTCCTTTGGCTTCTGGGGTGTCAAAAATACTGATTTTTCATTCTTTCTTTTTTTATCAGCTACTCCATTTCTGTTTGTTAAGATCAGTTGCAACAATATTCTAATGTTCTAAAAGCCTTTGTCTGTCTGACTCTGTCTATAACGCTTTATTCGCGCTCTGACTGACTGAAACAGCCAATCAGAGTGCGAATAAGCATTTAGACAGGAGGTGGTGACACAGCGCCACGATGCTGGGGACGGAGCGGGGAGGCCCGCCCTTTCCCCCGTCTGTCGTTGCCTCCTACAGGGCTGACGCGGGCCGATGCGGTGGCAGTGGGGGGAGGGAAGAAGTGGGCCTGGGACCGATGCAGGAGTGGGGGAGGAGAAGCGAGCCTGGGGCTGGCCCGCCGTGGTGGGGGGCAGGGCGGAGCAGCGGGCCCGGCCTGGCCTGGCTCAGCCTGATCCAGCAGCGATGGAAGGAGGGGAGGTGCAGGCTTCTTCCACCCCCTTGGGCCTGGGCCCGCTCCTCTTTCCCCCCCCCCCCCCCCCCCCCCCGCCCCCCACCGGGCCCAGTCCTCCCCTGCATCAGGCCTGGGGCCCACTCCTCCCCTCCCCCTGCTGCAGTGGCAGGGAGCGGGGGGCGCAGGCCGGGACCCCCAGGAGCAGGAAGGGAGTGGGTCTGGATGGGAGGGGGCATGAGGCTCCATCCCCACCTGCCCCTCCCCCCGATCATTGTTCACAGGCAATTAGCTAGTACTATATATAATACTTCTAGGGCAGTTAGGATGCTTGTATATATGGCAGTCCTCACGATGTACATGTGACGAAAATGTAATTTGCATGGCTTAATGGTGTCACACATTACACATGAGCCAGTTTTGGGGGTTTTAAATGAGCTTGCCTCGTTGCAAACTAAACTACATCCAGATGCGTTGCAGCTGTCAGCTTGCCCCTGGCCATGGGAAAGATAGTCAGGCCCTGCAGAAAAGAAGGATTGGGCCCCTTGCTGCTTTTGCTTTCAGGAGAGGTCAGATCCGTTTTTTTTTTTTCTTCTCCCGCAGAGCTGGCCCTCCTCTCCTGTGGCTGGGAGGTGAGCTGCTGGCAGCCCCTGAGTGGCCTCCTTTTCTCCAGCGGCAGCACCTCCCGGGGCCACCCAGGCAGGCCGCTAGCAGGCTGGGTGCTATTTCTGAGTTGGGGGCAGCACCTGACCCACTAGCCGCCCAGCTGGGCGGCCCCAGGGAGGGAAGGACCAGGGGTCACTCAAGCTCTGACAAAAAAAATAAATAAAAGGATTGGGCCTCTTGCCATATTATAACAGAAAATTTGAAATGGTAGGTTTCAATTAAAAACCCACTGTTTCAACTTAGGGGGCATAGAATAAAACCCTGAGGGCTAAACCCCCATCGCATATACTCCTAGATTACTGAACATACCTTTGATGTCTATAAATGTTCTTATTTTGGAGACTTTTTCCCTTCATGACTTGCGTTTAAAATACAGTAAATGGCCTGCAGATTAGTTAAATAAAGAGTGTTCAGATATTGTGGCGTTCCTTGTGATTCAACTTTTATGAAGTAAGCTTCCTATTGGAGCTAAATTGATTGCTTTTAAATTTTAAGTGTCTGATATGCACAACCCCATTAATATTAATTGGGTACTTCAGGAAAAATGTACTAACCTATAGTTAAACCCCCTTTCAATAGCATAGTTGTGGGCCTTGGGAAGGTCTGAAAGGATTTGGCAGTTTGCAGATTGAAGTAGAGAACTAAGCAAACTTTCCTTTCTCACCTGACCTTCTTCTGGATGAGGCTGTAACGTGATTTCATGAAAATGACTTTTTGTAGTTCCTTTCTATGCTGAAATAATTTTAGCTTAGCTTGGTTGACCTATTTTAAAGCTAGGATGTAAAGCTTGTTAAGTCTACTGATATTTTTCATTGAAAATTGGCCCTAACGTGCATTGTTCTAGTAGATTATACTTCAGAGTTTTTGCTTCCCCCTTACTGCACTTTCTGCAACATCCTTTGAAAGTCTGGGTCCTGGGAAACTGGCATGGGGGAGTATAGGTCCCTCATCCCAGGCCTGTACCGGGGGACTGAGAAACATGATCTCTGTTCTCAAAAATTGCACATCCTGCTACATGTGTGGCACTGACAGACGCACATTTTGTAGGGACCAGGCATAAAATTTCTCAGATCCCAGTTGTGCAATTATATTAACGTCTGCTAGGGTCCTTTGTATTTATAGCTATTTTTCTTGATAGCTTTCCAGATAATGGCTTCTTTTGTTTATCTTTCTCTCCCGTTTTATAAGTTTTCCAGAGAACAACATTTAAAAAAATGCAGTTTTAGATTTTGTTCTCCATCTTGTGTAATTATAACTGAAATACTCCTTTTGGTTGATGATTTTGTGCACATAAAAAATTATCCACTCGTAAAGAGCAATTTCAGCATGATGCTAAAAACTCCACTAGTGTTAACGCCACACTTCCTTGCTGTCACACCAGTATTGGCAAGTAGCACTGACCTTTTAAGGTAATATATTTGTGTTTTAAACAATCTGTTTATGCAGTTTTACCATACTGTGCTTTGGAACATTCTATGTTTTATTCTTTACTAATTACTGAGAGTCCCTCAGCTGTCTCCATTAGTCATTTTAAAAAACATGTTTATGGTTGTAGAGGATGCAACAAGACATCCTAGCAACCATCTTTGAAAATGGGGTCAAGGACTAAGCTGAAAGAGAGACTTCCTCTAGTAAACTTAACTTTATTCAGAATAACCAGGCTTTGTGCAAGGATTTCTGTTGGTAATCTCCCCATTGGCAGGCTATAGGGTACCTATGAAATAAGGGAATTCCTGTCAGTGCAGATTTGGAGGGTTGCCTCCCTTCAGCTTCTTTGCTACCTTCCATATCGTGCTGGTTGGTCTCCCATGGAGCCCAGATTCACAGAGTTAAATATAAGTTGGGAACCTGTGCACTCACTCAAGTTACTCTCTGCAGCACAGTCATGTTAGCTCTTCCTTGAAGCACGATCCACGGGCATGTGTGACATTGCAGCATGATTAACAATCCATTGCTAAACAAGCATTAAAATGAGTGCCAGTTGTTAATGCTGTTTCAGTTTTACCTTCATCTTTTATGTTCCTCCCTACAGATAGAGACAGATATAACAATTGTATCAATATCAAAGGATACCAGTCCAAGCTGTTGTGATGCCACTGTTAAAGTCTGCTGATTCTGTAGTGATACAAAGGTAGCAAAACCACTCCAGCTTTAACCCCACTTTATTCAGGAACAGAGATGGGGATGTTTAGCTAACTTTATTGCTATGGAGTCAAGAAAAGGTAAACACTTAAGCTGTGCACACACATTTTAAAGAAATCTCCCAGATTCTCTCTTGGTAGAGAAACTTAGCCAGAGCTGTGTACACAAACATTCAAATACTGAGGCCAAGAAGAGTGGAGAGCATGCAATGTTGTCTGTGCAGCTGGGCAGGGAGCAGGGGGCCTGTGTACACATAAGTCAGCATGCTCTGCAGGCTCTCATTTGCTGGGTGACAGATGGCAGCAGTGCTTAGGGCAGCCCTCACTGGCTGACCCAGGCTACCTATGGTCAATCTGTGTTTCTCTGAAGCACAATGTGGAGATGGTTAAGGGATGGGGGTTACTCTCTACTGGAGAAACAGAGTCCAGCAAGCATCATACTATCCCCCTGGGTGCGGGGCGGGGGTGGTTGGAGTTGGGAGATGCTGGAGGACTCTCCTGGCAGTGATTTTAACCCTGGTTATTCCCAGGTTATTTTTCTCCTGAAGCAGCCACTTTTTACTCTGGATTAAATAGCCTGAGCATTTATGGTTCCGTACAGTTGTGATTTCTCCTGTGACAGTTGCTGCTGTCCCAGGATAAACTCTTCATTCATACCTCCGGTAATCTACAAATTGAGCATATAAGAAAGGAACATCTTTGAACATTTTAAATTCTAGTCCCTGCCCATTAGGAGAAAGAGTAGGTCTTCTGAATTGTCCAGTGTATGTGGACACAAAAACAGAGAATAGCGTCACTGTACTACTCCGTATTTATGAAACTTAGCATGGTGGCACTACAGGTAAGGTTCTGGCTGTCTTCTAAATCAGTGACTGGCAGCACTTGCAAGCTGCAGTCTGGAACAACCTGGCTCCAGTCCAGCATAGGCCAGGGGCCTTAGCCTATGTCCATACCAGGGCCAGGCATCTGGGAACTGCGCTCGTACTACTGCCACATCTTTCCAGTGCCTGCTCTCTGGCTCTGGGGCAGGTACACCTTCCAGCCAGGGAACTGAGCCAGGGCATGCAGCTGAAAGCTGCCTGGCTCTGGTACTACTCCTGGCTGCCCAACTGCTCTGTGGGCTGGATCCAGCCTGTGGGTCGCATGTTACCAAACTGTTCAAAATTGCCTTAGTGCTCTGGGTGTGTC